GAGGAGGAGGAGGAGGAGGAGGAGGAGGAGGAGGAGGCGGCGGCGGTAGCGGCGGCCCGCGCGGCCCAGACCCGTGAGGCGGCTTCCCGCGCGACCGTGGCCGCCTTGAGGGGCCGAACCTCGCCGCCGAGCGGCTACCTTTCCGAGCTCCCTCCCCTTCTGGAGCCGACGCAAGATGGTGGCCCACCCTCCACCTCGCCGCCAAGCCCATTTCCCTCCCCCGCGCCCCTGTGGAGCCCGGCAACCCGCGCTGGCACCAAGACCCTCTGCTCGCTCTCCCCAGAGCCCGGTGCCCACCATCGCCTTCAGGGTCGTGGGAGAGAGTCGCTGCCCATACCTTGGGGCACAGCGGGGAGGGGGCCGCTTACCGAAAGCAGAGCAGTTCCCCCTGACGGAGGCTCAGAGGAGGAGAAAAAGGAGAGGAAGGAGCGCGAAAATACTGGGTGACCGCCGCAACACGGCGGCCACCGAGACTCCCAGCGCGGAATGAACGGGGCTGCGAGGGAAGAGCATTTAACTATGCGCGCTGCCTTATGGGTAGGCGCCGGCTCCGCCTCTGCACATCCGGGTAGTTCTTCTAACGGAATCGCGTAACAGTTACAAACATGTGCGCTGCTCTACATTCGCTCGAAGGCTACAGCGCCAGGCTCTAGGGCTGTGGGATCAGGGGGAGGGACAAGCTGAGACGCCAATCCCACCAGGGAACAAACCTCTCTTCCATATTGTATTTGACCACATGGAAAGGCGAATTTTCAATCCCATGTATAAAGGCTAAAGGCACTAGTTTTTTTTTTAAATCCCATTTGACAAACCTCTGTATCAAGTTATTTAAATAAATGGTTAATTTAATCAGGTTTTTAAAATGCATTTAATACAGGGTTTACACGGTCTCACTACACAGAATGGACTCCTACTGATCCTCATGTTTTCAGCCTCCAAAGAGCTGGGATTACAGCGCCGGGGAGATGGCTCAGTAGAATAAACGCTTGCTTGGCAAGCACAAGGGCCTGAGTTCCATCCCGGTTCCGGAAAACAACAACAACAAAAGCCTGGCGTTCACCACCAAGCCTTGTCTCAATCACCATCACAGCACGCCGCGGCGGCGAGGCTGGAACGGCACGCCAGGACTCGAACCCCAGACCCTGCGGCTGCCTAAGCAGGTGCTTTAGTCCGCTGAGCTATCTGGCTGGCGCTCATCAGGTTTTTTAAATATATGGTTTTGCTTACAGTTATTACTCATTATTATGGCGTTCGTGTGCCAGAATCGGTTACAGATATCTATATCTATATCTATATATCTATATCTATATATATGTGTATACATGTAGGTATGTATCTGGAGTGCTGACATTAGGGGCGTGCCCAGCATGCCTGTCTACAAGTGATATTTTAAAAAGAAAATAGTGCACAAAACTTCACTTAAAGGCAGATAGGGGGGCCGGGGAGATGGCTCAGTAGGATAAGCGCTTGACTGGCAAAACGCAAGGATCTGAGTTCAATCCCCCATTCTGCCAAAAAAAAAAAAAAAGGCAGATAGGAAGCTATAAGTGTTGTAACCCCTTATGTGATCCTTTTGAGTGACTTTTCTCTACTCCAAATGGAAAATAATAGAAAGGGGAGGGGAATATAGCTCAGCAGCACAGTGCCTGCACAGCAAGCTTGAGGTTCTGAGTTCAAATCTGTATACTAAAAAAAAAAAGAAAGAAAATAACAGAAATTGGTGGCAAGCACAGTATTTACACAAGTACACAGTGACAGGAGCCAGGGATATAACTCAGCAAAAACTCAGCAGAGCAGCACCCACCTGGTAAGTACAAGGTCTTGAGTTTGATTGCTAGGACCAAAGAAAAAAAGTAAGAAAGAAAGTCATAGTGACAGTCATCACTCCAAAACAGTTCCCTGGCAGCCACTGTGCTGTCCCCAGTCCCAACACCTGATGAAGACCACCATGTATTTGCCCATTTTCAGTTACAAACACCCAAAACCGTACAACCGTACAACCATGTACAGGTAGGGGCAAATCTAATATTTAAACAAATAAAATGTAAAGAAAAAATATAAAGGAGTCTTCAAGTTTTAACATAAAGCATAATACCGAGCCTGGTGTAGTGGCCTATGTCTGTAACCCGAACACTGAGGGATAGTGAAGCAAAGGGATTGAAAGTTCAAGTCTAGCTTGTGCTTTTGGCAATTTAGCAAGATTCTGACTCAAAATCAAAAATAAAAAAGGCTGGGGATGTAGCACAGCGGTAAAAAAAAAAAAAAAGAAAAAAGAAAAGAAAAAGGAGCTAGGCATGGTGGCGCACATCTGCAATCCCAGCACTTGGGAGGCTGAGGTCGGGGGATTGCTGTGAGTTTGAGACCAGCCTGGAGTACAAAGTGAGCTTAAGGCCAGCTGGATTTGTGTAGCATGACCCTGTCTCAAAAAGACCAAAAAAAGAAAAAGAGAAAAGAGGAAGCATTAATAAAAGAGTAATTGCCAAAATGCTGTTTTTCACAAACATTTTCTCAACATTACGTTTCTATAAAGAATGGATCCTCTTCTAGTTTTCTCATGATCTATGGCACCAGTGGTTCACTTCTGAAGAGGCGCTCAGACTTCATAGTGTGGCTTTTTCTGGGACACAGATATACAAGTCCAGTCCCTGAACTCTACTAATGCTTCCTGTTTGAACTAGGCTCTTATTTCACATCTATGCTGCCATTTGTGAATTTTAACTAACAAACCAGCAGATTACATGTTTCTCTGTCTTTGGCTCATGAAAATGGCAACTATCTGATTCTCCTGCTATTTCTTTCAGTGTAGGCAGGAAATATGCCAACTCTACAGCCTGCTCGCCTTTTCCTTTTGCATGGGCAAAAAAATTTCAAACTAACTATTCTCCCCTGCCACTCTAAAAAGACATAAGGACTCCCGCTGCCTGTCTATAACCAGCTCAGACCTGTCTGCATGCTGCTTGTCCTAAAATTTCTCACAAATGCCTGTGGTGAATAATAGGGTTATAAGCCTGTAAAATCTGGCCTAAAATTTGGCAGGGAAAGGGTCAATTTGTCTCAGCAGAATGACCAGAAAACACCTATAACACTAAAATTCCAATCTAATTTTTGTTTGAAAAAGAAAATTTGTTTGTCAAGAAGAGTAAAAAATTCTGCTTTGTAAATTTTCTATCAAAATAGAAGGAAAAAGGAAGGAGGGAAGGAGAAAGAAAGAAAGAGTGCAGTCTACATAAGAAACCAAAATCATAAAGAAAAGGGTGTCTAGTGACAATGGAATTAGCACATTGGAAATTGAATGTTTTGACTGGTCCATTTTGTTTTATTTTTTGGAACCAGGGACTGAACTCAGGCCCTTGTGCTTCCAGGCAAGAACCTATTCTACTGAGCCATCTCCCCACCCACTCCATTTTTTTTTTTTTTGAGACAGAACCTTGTTTTATAGCTCAGGTTAGCCTTGAACTATATATCCAAAACTGTCTTCAAACTCAGCAATCCTCCTGCCTCACTGTACAAATTCAGGGGTTACAGGCAGGAGCCACCACATCTGGCTTATGACAATTCCTAAAACTCCTCCTTATACTTTAAAAAAATATCACTCTTGGTCCTCTTACCTGTCCATGTGTAGAGGACCACCTGAGCAGCTCTCCTTGAAAGAAGAGCAATCTTTTCCATTTTGGCTGAGCTTGATCCTGTTTCCTTCTATTGACATGTACAGAGCTGGCTAGGATTTTTCCTTATCCCTTCAATTGGCTTTAAACAATGAATATTGTTCTAGCAGGTGCTGGTGGTAGTCTTTGAAGACGGCATGCATGTTTCGCTGATAACACCTACCTTCTGCTCTTTGGTATGAGCCAAGTCCAGACAGGACTAAGAACCAATGCTCCACACTGTCTACTGAGATCAAGACTTGAGATAGAGGCTATGACTTCCTGGGGCTTGAAAGATTACACATCAGAGCTAAAGTATGGACCCCAAAACATTAGATACTATCTCAATTATGTAATGCAGATTACTCTTTCTGCGTATCCTTCTCTCTGCACATAGCAGAGACAAATGCAGACCTCCTACCTAGCCCAGCTCATGTCACCCAGCACTTCCAGCCACTTTCAGTCACTCATCTGAAGAATAAAAGCTGGGCTCAGTTTTGAGTAAGGACCTTTGTTGCAGATAGCCATCTTTGTCCCTGACCTTAGGACCTCTTGGCTCCTCATAATTATAAATATACTTTGTTGTTTTTATTTGCACTGGAAATGGTAGATTGGAATTAATTTAGTGGGATTCCAATAATTTATCCTTGGGATTACAAATATAAACTTCTTGGACCGAGACAACGACCAGGAAGGCCTCTCCATGTATGCTCACTTTTCCCCATGATTCCATTAAATATACCTTTTCCTTTGTAGCTTTTGGGTAATAACTATGAAAATTAAAATAAAATAGCTAGTTGCTGGGCTGCACACCAGCAATTCCAGTACTTCAGGAATTTTATAGTGCAAATGCAGCTAGAGGAACTTAGGCACTTAGAAAGATTTGTATCAAAAATAAAGAAAGCCTGGAAGTGTAACTCAATATGAAGGCCCTGGATTCAATTCTCAGTATTGCATAAAATAAATAAATAAATCCATAAAATAAAAGAGATAAGGATACCATTTTAAAGTATACAATAGAATTATTTCTCATGTATTCACAATATCATACAATACTCGTCATGATCCATTTCAAAAGATTTCCACTATCCCTCAGCAAAACCCCTATAGTTTGTGAGAATCCACTTCCAATTCTTCCTACCCTTAATGCCCAGCATTTGTTAATTAACTTTGTTATCTATGAGTTTGCCATCATGTATAAACAGAATCATGTAATATGTAGTTTTTGTGTCTGCTTTATTTTACAAGACATAATTTTAAAAACTTTTATTAGTAGATGTGTATAATACATAGTGGTTACATTGAGTTTGGGAGTTTGTGTGCAAATCACACCTTGATCAGTTTTATTCCCCTGCTCCTCCATCCTTCCCCTGTCTTCTTTCCTCAGATCCCCTTGCTGCCTCTAAAGTCTGCCTCCCTGCCCTCCCTTTTTCGTCTTATGTATTTGGAACAGGATCTTACTATGCAGCTCTGACTCCTAGTGTTTTCAGCCTCCCCAGGGCTGGGATTACAGGTGTGCATCATCATGCCCCGACTTGGTGGCCAGCTCAGTGTGCCTGGGGGCAGGGCTGGTGTGGCATGTGGGACAGGGGATCAAACCCCGGTTCCTGCACTTGCCAAAGAAGCACTTAGTCCACTGAGCTATCTCGCTGGCCCTGCCTCCCTTTTTCTTAACATGGCTCTTTAAATTATTTGTATGTTGGGTCTCTCATGTTGGGGATTGAACTCAGGACCTTGTACTTGCCAGGCAGATGCTTATGCCACTGAGCTATCTCCCCGGCCTAAGAACACATAGTATTTAACCTTTTATGACTGACTTATTTCACCTAGCATTGTGGTCTCAAA